GGAATTTCTTCATGGAAAGGGTGGTGTGGCATCGGCAGGGGCTGCCCAGGGAGGTTTGGAGTCCCCACTCCTGGAGGTGTCCCCAGGGAAGCCTGGCCATGGCCCTCAGTGCTCTGGGCTGGGGGACAGGGTGGGCATCGGGCACAGGGTGGACTTGGTGATCTTGGAAGTCTTTTCCAGCCTCAGTGATCCAGGGATTCTGTGTGCTTAGCCCTCACTGCACAGGTCAGGCCCCAAAGCTGCTGACTGCACCACTCCATCAACACGCCGATGCCACATCTCGCACGGACGTTTCTGCAAGTCATGTTCCACTTCCTCCAGCTCCCCCAAATGTAGGCCACCGGTTCATTTTCCAGCAGATTTTTGCAGTCAATAACGGGGAAGGATTTAATTTTTTAATTACTCCCCTCTCACACATCTCCCTGGCAACCACAGCTGCTCCAGCCCTCGCGGTTACGAGATCCTTCTCCTCCAGTGAAAGTCAGAGAGCATCAGATCTCCCCACTCCAGGATTATTCTGACCCCTCAGAAACACCCAGCAGGACTCTGACACAGCTCCCAGTTCCCCTCTCATCCAGCAGTTCATTACTACAGGGTGATGCCTGTACCTTGTGAGGACAGAAAACCCCTGCAAGGAGTTGAATGAGGGAATGCACCTGACACTGGGAAGAGAGGAGAAACCCCACACTGTGCACTGAGAAGTCCCAGTAAAAAAAAAAAGAAGGAAAACACCCCAAAAAGTCTTCCACTTTCCTGCCAGGGAGGTACAATTCCCATACAAGCTCCCTGCAGCCTCCATTCCTGCAGGGCAGCAGAGACAGTGGAACAGAGTTTATTTGATTTCTTTAATCAGTTCCTGAACCTCCCAATGCCTAAAAACATGGAAGAGAGTAGAGAAGTATTATTTAAAATCCACTCAGCTAAGCAGAGCTTTGGTAGAATTTCACTAAAGCCAAGGCAAAATTACTCCAGCCCCGTGTCTCTGGATACTCCTGATAAAAACGGAGTTAGCAGGAATTCTTTTGCAGTACTATGGACACAAAGAGAGTTAAGGCTGCCTGACCTTGCCCCCAAACTAACCCTCCACATTATCATAATTTCCTCTGGTCAAGATCCAGGCCAAACCCAAGCAGGGGCTTGGCAGGGGGGGGCACCAGCAGGGACATAAGCACAGCTGTGAAATTTGGCATTTCCCAAACAAGCGGCCTCTCAGGAGCCAGAGCAAGGCAACAAGCAGCACGCAGTAATTCCAGGGCTGGAAGTCCTTGGAGCACTGGTGGGAGTGGTTTACAGCAAACAGGGGGGCCAGGAATTAATCTGCTCATGGGGACGAGCGAAGGACAACGAGGCACAGCCAGAGCTCAGGGAACTGCCCTGTCTGGGGCAACAGTTCCACCACACCCTGAGCCCCAAACCACCCTGGCCAGGGGCAGATCCAGGGCAGATGGTGTGGATCACATCCCACACCCCCACTCTGACAGGCACAAGCTCCTGACAAGTGTGGGAGAGCTCTGGGTGCCACTGCAGGGATCCATCAGCAGCTGCAGACAGGGTGTCCCTGCGAGGGACAGAGTGACAGACCCAGCTCAGCGGTGAGAGGAGCTGGAGCTGAGATGTTCCTCAGCAGCTCTGAGCAGCCACAACAATCACAGGCAGGCAGTGACAGGCAAGGGACAACTGCACAGCAAAGGGAGGGGTCTCTGCCCTGGATGGGGATCCCACTTAATCCAAAGAATGAGGAGAAGGGAAATCACCTGCAGAGTGGGCCTGGCAGTGCTGGGTTAGTGGTTGGACTGGATGATCTTAAAGTTACTGGACTTTTGGAGTAAAATTCCCAACTCCCAACTGGGATTGATGCCCATGTGCTCTCTAATGTCCCTGGGCCTCACCTCTCTGCAGTACAACCACACACCAGCACCTTCCACAAGCCAGAACAGACTATCAAAGAGGAGAATTACAATCAACAACTTCCATCCTTAAAGGGAACATCGTTTTTACAGGATGCCTCACTGAGAACCACACTGAGAGCAGCTTCACACAGGGCTGTAACCATGGTAAAGGAACAGGCAACAAGCCTGTTGATTTAAACATGAATTCTGGTTTTACTGTATCCCATTCAGGATTCATAATGTGCCTTTGGACAGACCCCAACTCTCATTCCAGCTCAGGTCTTTAATTGAAGTTTGATATAAACCCATCATATTTACCAACTCCACCTCCTACTGAACTGTCTCCTCTCATTTATTCCACTAGTCCTACATAATTAAAACCACAGTGAGTGTTAATTAACCCCTCATGGCCCCTCACTGAATTATCAGTGCAGGTTAAATCTCTGCAACCAAACCCACCTGCCCACTGCTCCTGACCTCACCTTGGAGTCCAAACCAAAACTCATGAACAGTTTCCCACTCCTCAGAGTCTGCCAAAAACTATTTTCCATCAAGAAAAAGGAGACTTACAGTGGGTTTAAAATTGAGGAGATGATGTTTCAAGCTGGTGCATCCCCCCTTAGCCCAGCACAAACCAGCCCAGCACAGCGTGTAAATAACGGCATCGAGCCCCTGTTACACCAGGCCTTCCAAGGACACTTTACCTGTGCACATCCACACACAGAGCCAATATATCCCCCCCCAAATGCACCTAGCTAGCTGCCCAGCAGGGACAGAAGGCATTCCCGTGCCCACCTGAGTGCCAGTCAATAAATGGAATTCCAGGATCGCCCCCCATGTTTCGTTTCTGAGGCCACGCAACCGGCAGGCAAAGGTAAATCCATCGCCCTGTGCACGTCTAACAGCGTGAAATCACCACTGCAGCCTTCAAACTGAGAGGGGAACTACACACACCACCTCCTCTCCCCCCAGCACCCCCAAAACACGATGAACTCCCAATCCCCTCCCTGTTCCCCCCAGCTCGGGCCATCTCTGCCCAGACAGCTCCGTTATCCTGCCTTGCCACAGCAGCCCCAGGGGGAAGCACACGCTTTGGGCCCGTTTTTAGGACATTTTTGGGCAGCAGGACTTGCCCCACGGGCACAGCTGATGTGATGGGGGCAGGATTTCTTCCCCCCCCCCCCCCCCTTTTCTTTTTTTCCATTTTTAAGACGGCCAGAACTACGAATCGCTAGTTGTACAAACACAGCTCTGCTGCCACTCCATGGAACTCGCGGTTATTGCTTCCCACACAGACCCGGGGAACGGCAGAGGCTGGACACGAAGCCTCCTGGAACTTTGTTCTCCAGAGGTTCAGGATTTGCTCGGCGAAGGTGCTGGAAGTCCCAGCCCAGACTGAGCTGATTTTCACTGATTACACCCCCAAAACCCACCAGAGAGCTGCCAAGGGGTGGGTGCCTTCACCCCGGGTACATCACAGCACATCCAGCACCGAGCCACTGATCTCAAAGTTGGCATCTTGCTCAGGCAAAAAGATCATTGCTGGGATGCCAGAACCGGAGGGGAAGAGCTATTGATCAACGCCTCTGGCTCTGATGCAGAGGGAAAAAAAAACATCTGAGGTCTAAAAAGCTGTTGCAGATCTTCTGCTCACAAAGAAAAACAACACAGAGCATCAACCTCTGGGTGAAGGATCCAGAACAGAGAGCTCTGAACGCACAGAGAAGGGACCAGGGGCCTGAGCAGAAAGGATTAGACACTCTGCAAGGTACAGAGGGGAAGAGCCAGTATGAATAAGCTCCAGACAGCTCAGAAGAAGAAAGGAAGCTCCAAAGCCCTGAGAGAGTAGATCAGGTATTTAGGTATCTCTACATCAGTTTACTGGTCTGAGAAAAGCCCAGCAGAAGCTGCTGGAATGTGGACAGGCTGAATGTTCGTGGTGAAGGCAGGAAAAATGTTCACCACAGTAAATATCCATCCTTAATCAGGACTTGCAGGTTGGTTGGGTGGGTTTATACCCTTCCCTAACGTACTTCCAGTCAGCAAAACTGTTCAGCTCCACTGCAAGAGTGCTCAGGAGGAGCAGTTAATCCTCATTCTCCATCCCCTTAAAGGAGATCTGCCTTACATAATAAAAATCAGTGTTGCATTCCACATAAAGTTTCTCCCCCCCCCAAAAAAAAAAAAAAAAACCACCCCCCACCAAAGGCAGGGAGCTTTCATCCACATCCCCAGCAGCCACACATTCCTCCAGCCTCGGATACAGCAGACAAGACACCGTTCCTTGGAAACTCTGGGAAATCGGGGCACTGCACAGTGTGGAAGAGGAGCCACTGCCAAACACTCGGCTCTCCCACTCTTCCCCCTCCTACACACACACACACACAAGGACAGTCCCTAAATATTTGCTGTTTAACACCAGAAATAAACTTCAGTCCCTGCACATGCTTTAGCTCACGGAAAGGAGATGGGAGACAGCAGCAAACTGCCCCCGAATTCCAGTCTTCTCCCGCTCTCCTTCAAGTCAATAGGTGCATGTTCCCTAAAAACCACCCTGCTGAGGCCAGAAAGCTCCTCTGCAAGAGACATTCAACTTGGAAGGCAGGAGGAAGAAGAGGAAAGTGCTTCCATCTTCACGCAAGGCATCCAAAAATCTATTTTATCAGCTGTGGGCAAAACCCCAGAGTAGGGAAATACTGAATTAAGATGCAAGGGAAGGGCAGAGGGGGGAAAACCGTGCTGGCATTTCTCACAGTCATCGTGCCCATCACACACGGCAACTGTGCCCAAATGTGACCCACCGGAGGAAGGCAATGAGATCACACAAAGCCACCTTTTATCACCCCCATCGCTCGAATCCCAAAGGATGCTCGAGGGAACCACATCGTCCAGAGGGCTGAGGAAAATATCCTGGCTGCTGAAGGCGCCAGGGAAGCATGTGCCGACACAGCAGCGTGTGCAGGCAGTGCCACACACCCCCAAACCCCCCTCTCCCTGCCCCCCAAAACAGCGCTCCTGTCATTTCAGGAGCCGGGGATGATAAAAAAAGAAAATAAATTTAAAAAAAAAAAACGCTCCTAAAGTTGCCAGCGGTCTCTCCGTGCCACTTACCCGTCACGGATCCAGCCAGGAGCCCCACGGAGAGCAGCAGCACCCGGCTCCAGGCGCTCACCTCCACCGGCATCAGAGCCACCATCCCCAGCTTGCCCCAGTGCCTCCCGAAGCTGCAGCTGCATCCCGGCTGCTCCCATCCCAAGGAAGGTTGCATGTCAAAGGGCAGCAGGGATGGGGAGTGCTGGGGGGTTGGTGGTTCTTGCCGGGTTTTCCCCCCTTTTCCTTCCCCTTGGCGGTTGGGATAGTCCTCGGCTCGGCTGGATGAAGAGGAGAAAGGAAAGAGGGGGGGGGGGGAGGAAAAAAAAAAAAAAAAAAGCAGGTCAGGCTTGTGATTTCCTTTTTTTTCTTCTTCTTCTTTTTTTTTCCTTAATTTTTTCAGCCCAGGAAAAAAAAAAAATCCCACCGCATGGAAGGCTCTGAGCTTCTGCAGCTGGAATGAACCAAGTGTGGCAGCAGCTCGGGGAGAGGAGAGGCGAGGAAAGGAAAGGAGAGGAGAGGAGAGAGGAGGGCTGGGGCTGGCGCGTCCCTCCCGGTGGCTGTCTCAGAGCCAGCTCCTCGGCAGCAGCACCACACGCTCCTCGGGGATTTATACTTCTTTATTAGCCACTTGATTAATCGTTCCCATAGCTTTGTCCTCTCCTAAATGCTGGGGAGGGGAGGGGGGGGGGGGTCGCGGTGAGGGGCCACTAAAGGGATATGACTCGGCTGTGATACCCCCTCCCCAAACCCAGCACCATCCTCCCACCAGAGCCAGAGCCCACAAATTGGGCTTGGGCAGCGTGTTTATTTTTATGTACTACAGGTTTCTCGCTGAGGAACCGGCCCCCCAGCCCCCCATTTCACATGGAGTCTGACACACACACACACACACACAGAGCATCGCTGCTAGTGAGACATCTGCGGGCACAGACCCCCCGTAAACAACTTGATGATATCGACACAATCCTGGGGATGAAGCAAATTTTGTTACAAACAGATCACAGAAGAGCTCCCCCCACCCCTCCTTCCCCCGACCCCTCCCAGCCTGTGGCTTGTCCTCCCAGCGACTGATGCTGGTGGGACTGGTCCAGGGAAAGGCTGTGCCCCCCTCCCAGCGGGGTGGGCTGTGGAGCTGCTGCCCTGCCAGGGCTGGCAGAGCCGTGTCTCAACCACCACCACCACCTCCCCTTGTTTGTGTTTGAGCATCTCCTGGTACCTCGGTCCCTGGAGCTGCAGGCAAGATGGGGAAGGGAGGGAGGGGATGGAGGAAGGAAGGAATGCAGCCGGTTAACGCCACATTCGGGAACTTCATTATCGTGCTAATGATGCTCGAGTCGAGGGACGAGGCAAAAGACTCAACGCGACACCAGAGCCCCTCCCAAAAAATATAAATAAATAACAAAGAAAAAGACACTCTGGAACACTCGAGCATCCCCCACCACCACCACCTCGGCAGCGCCGACTCTACTCCTCCCTGTGTGACAGGCTCGGAGCTGCCCCTCTCCCAAACCCTAGCAGGGGGTGTTTACCAGCCCCACATGCCCCTCCCCAGCCCCGCATTCCCCGTTTTCCCCCTCTCCTGCCCTCCCCTCTCTCCCGTGGGATGCGGGGCCGGGCCGGTGCCCTCGCCGGGGTCGGGCCGTTCTCCCCCCCCCCATACCCCGGTTCTCCCCCGGCCAAACCGGGGGCTCCCCTCGCCACCCATCCCCCTGCTCCGGCTTTTGCATTTGCTGCAGTTTCTTGCTGCAAAACCCCCTTCTTCGCTCCTGTTCCGGCTGCCTTGAACGAGCTTATTTGACAGCTAAAAAAACCAAATTATATCGAGGGCTCGCAAAATCTGTCCCTCCACCCTCGGATCAATCCTCCTTCTCTCTTCTCCCTTTCCCTCCGTCCCCTCTGCATTTCAATCCTTCCACTGCCTACATTGTGAGCCGCTGCCAAGAGCCAAGGCAACCAGGGGCTGGTACATGAAAGAGTTGCTTTATGCCTGTTTAAGCTGCAGTTTCTATTCAAACAGACCTGACTGTGCAAAGGCACAAGCTCCACCGGGGAGAGGCTCCCCGGGGCAGGGGGGATCGCACCCCACGGCTCCACACACGGACACAGCGATCCCTCAACCCCCTGGAGACCCCCCCAGCCCAATATTGGATGCAGCTGAAGATGTGCCTCGGTTGCTGCACACCCGCAGGGCAGGGGCTGAGCCAAAGGCAGCCCTGCACCGAGAACAATCCACAGGCGTAATAAAGGCATTGAGGAGACACAAATCCCACTTTATTCCCGGGGAATCAAATCGTATCCATTTCAGAAGCCGGGGGGGGGGGGGGGGGTGTTCCTCGCTAATAAGTTTCCTTCGCTTAAACCGCGGAGGTTTCAGACGGAACTCTCCCAAAAAAATCCTGCCTTTATTGGCAAAACAGGCAGTTGTGAAGCGAGCACAAACCATCCCTGCCGGCACGGGCTGCAGCGTCCCTAAAGGAAGGTTCTGGTTCCCAGCCCGTCTCTAACCCCGAGCGCTCACTCCGAGTCCCACCTCGCACAAAAATCACCTCTTTGCTAAAGACAATTCCTTGTCTCCCGTGCAAACACCCACCGGGACACAAATCCTGCTCTGCAGTGCCACCCGCAGCCAGAGCCGGGCTGGGCTGGCTCTGCTGGCTCCAGCCCTCCCTGCCTGGCACATTCCTGGGGGGACGAGCCCTCTTTTTCACCCTCAGCCCCCAACCAAAGTCTGAGCTGTTTGCGACCCCTCCAAGCAACACCAGCACATCCCCCCATTCCATCTGTCGCACATCTCTGGATATTGGGAAGGAATTCCTCCCTGGGAGCGTGGGCAGGCCCTGGCACAGGTTGCTGCCCCATCCCTGGGAGTGCCCAGGGCCAGGTTGGAGCAACCTGGGCTAGTGGGAAGCGTCCCTGCCCGTGGAATGAAATGGTCTTTAATGTCTCTTCCAACCCCAAGCCCCGTGAGATTCCATGATCACCTTTCCGAGGTGTAACCAGCTGGAACACATCGACTGCTGAGTGTCCCAACCAGGCAAACCATTCCAGTTTTTCCCACTAAAACCACTTTTCTTTGGAAAAAAAAAAAAAAATAGGCGTGTCCCGTGAAATCGAACTGCTTCAGATTCTGAAGCACCCTGAGCAGCTGCTGCAGTCGCTTCCCCACCAACGTTTAAAGAGAAACAACCAACACACATCAAAATATTTACAGGAAGAAGCGAAAGCAGCATCAAAGGGAGCAAAATTGAAAATTAAAGTGTTATAAGGAAGCTACTGTAAACAGCTGATCTGCACAAAGAGGAGCTGGATTTAGTATGGAAAAAAAAAAAATCACGCCAAATCACGTTCTGCAGGACAAATAATGGGAAGAGAGGGAAGCTCTTCAGATTGATGGGATAATATTGACTGGCTGCTCCTGAAATAGAACATTTCTGAACCCAGCTCACAATCAAACCATCAGCAAGGGCCTGGTTCTGAAAGTCCAAACAAACCACCACACAAAGCTGGTCCGTCCTGCTTGGGATGCGAAAGTGCAAACAGAGATCTCAACCTCAAAAAGGAACTTCCCAGCTGAGGAAACGGACAGTTCTCCAGAGGAACCCATGGAGGAACAGGAGGGGAAGGCACAGCCTGTGAAGCCACCAGAGACAGAAATGCCACTGAAAAACGGGGCAGAAAGTTGTTCCTGAAAGAGCCTGACAATGTTCTATTTTCACATCCACGGTAATCAATCTGTTTGGGGTTCTATTAAAGAGAATATCTATCTTCTTTAAAAACAGGGGGGAAGCAGCATCCTACTAATTATAGTGATCCTATGATTAGAGGTAATTAGATACATTTACAATTTAGAATTTCCTAATTTGAGCTGTTTGTGAACCATATATGTATCCATAGTGTGTGCACAGAGCACCAGCCATTCCCTCCAGCTACGAAGAAACTGCTTTGTTTATTAATATCTTTAACCTCCCTTTGTTTAACAGGAACCACTGCAACACTGAATTTAAAAAAAACAAAACAGTTAAAGACAATGCAGGTACTTCAGATTTTCTACTACCTTGGTGAGCACAGCATGGCCAAGTCTGAGCTTCCCACCAGCTTCTGGGGTTTTTTTTCCAGCCATTCCAACTTCCCACAGCTCTGGGGAACAAAACAGACCCAAATTCTGTGAGAAAAGAGCAGAACACCCCCAGGCCTGGTGCTGAGGGGCACAACCTGTCCATATTCTGACAGCTGACTTGTGATTTGTAGGGGGGAGGAAGAAACCAGATCACTGTCCCACTACAGCAAGTCCTGCGGAGAGATTCCCCCCCTGGCTCCCCCTCCCAGAACCCATCCTGTGAAAAAAACCACCCAAAAAGGGCTAAAGGCTCCCAAGAGCTCCATTAGCAGGGAGAAGCAGCAATAACCTGGCAGTTTGATGCAATCCCCTGAAGCCTGACTGAATTCCTGGCTCGGCTTTGGGTTCTCCACCCGAGGAGCTGCAGCGACAAAACCTCAACTCCCTCTCCGGTGAGAGCCACGGAAAATTTGAAGTGATCCCAGCATTCCTCTCCTGGCATTCAGAGAAAAACCTGCTATTCATCTCAGTCCTGGAAGCCCTACAAGGATTTCACATTTTCCCCACAGTGAACATTTCCATATAATCCCCTCTGATTTATGGGGTAAGGAACAGCTGGATGACAATTCACCTGATATAATTTTTTTTTTTAGGATGACAGAACAGGAAGGGGCTTTTTTTTTTTTTTATTTATTATTATTTTGGTATTGGAAGATGGAGACAAATAATAAAAATGTTTTATTTATGACAAATGGCTGAGCTGTTTAGAACTGAGTGTTGGGGCAATAAAGCTGGTTGCTAGAAGAGCATCTTGGGCACAGATTTCAGAGACAGGAGCTTGATTTGGGTGTTCAGAGGGAGAGTAACACAAATGCACTTGAGAGCTGGGAGGTGCAGCTCCACGTGCAACACGTTCCTGCCCTTATTACCTCAAGCTCATGTTAATCCAGATGGCAAATCTGACTTTTACTATTAAAGATCAAGCCAGAAAGCTTGGGTGAGGATTCCTGATGAACTGCAACTCCCCGGGGTGTTCAGCTGGGGGGGATCTCAAGGCTCTGACTCTGCCAAGGAGACACTGGCCCTGCAGAGCAGCTTCTGCCTCCTGCAGACAGGGCTGGGGCCGCCTGGCTGCTCCCTCCCAGCCCCTGGAGGAGCTGATGGCACCAAAAGTGCTTCCCCTCTGCAGGCAAAGAGCTTTCCAGCAGGACAGGCTTCAATAATGGCTCATAACTCAGCATCCTTCAGGCTGGATCAGTCTGGGCTAGGGGAAGGTGTCCCTGCCTGGGATGGAGGTGGAATAAGGTCCCTCAAGGTCCTTCCCAACCCAAACCATTCTGGGATTCTCTGATTCACTGAGCCCCTTTTTATTCCTCTACTCCTTCTCGTAACTTGAAAAGAAATCCCTTCCCTTTTAATGTAAATAAAACCACTTAGTTGTGCAGATCCAGCTGAAGGCAGGAAAAGCCTCACAGAGTGTGTTTGCTCCTGTAAGGTTGACAAACAATCCCACCACGACCCTCCAGGTGACGTTTTGCACGTTGTAACTGCTTTACTCCTCACTGTTCCTC